CCATTCTGAGAAGCATATGGTGACATCTCATTGTGGTTTGAATTTGCATTTCCCAAATGGCTAGTGATATTGAACAACTTCTCATGCTCTTATCTACCATCTATACATCCTCTTCAATAAAATGGTTCTCCATGTCTTTTGACCTTTTTCTTTTTTTATGAAATTTATTGGGGTGACATTGGTTAATAGCATTATATAAGTTTTAAGTGTTCAATTCTATAATATCACCTGCATATTGCATTGTGTGCTTAACACCCTTCCGTCATCATATATTCAACACCTTTGCTTTCTTCAACCTCCCCAAGCCCCCTTTCCCTTCTGGTAATGACCATACTGTTGTTCTTGACCATTTTCTAATTGGATTATTTGCTATTCCACTGTTGAGTTTTGAGAGTTTTTTATATACTCTAGATAATAGTCCTTTGTCAGATATGTGGTTTGAAAATGTTTTCTCCTAGTCCATAGCTTGTCTTTTCACCCATTTAACAGGGTCTTTTACAGAGCAAATATTTTTAACTTCAGTGAAGGCAAATTTATCAATTTTTTCTTTAATGAATTGTGCTTTGGGCTCAAGTCTAAGAACTCTCTGCCTGGGCCTAGATCTCAAAGATTTCCTTGTCTGTGTGTGAAAAATTTTTATTTTATATTTAAAATATATCCATGATTCAATTTTGAGGTAATTTTTGTGTAAGATGTGAAACTTATATAGAGGTTCATTTAAAGATTTTGTTTATTATATCCAACTTTTTCAGAATTTTTGCCAAAAAAAGCTTTCTTCTTGTCATACATGGAAGCCAAACAGTAAGATTTTTTAAATCTGTCCTAATCAAACTGTCCTAGGAGTAATGTACAGGGATAGATGAACATGACCCAAATGGAATTGAATAAATTAAAAAGTGATTGGTGGAGATAAAAACAGATAGTAGTAGGATAGATAGTGAGAAAGAAAACACTCTAGAGATAGGAGATAAAATTGACAAGACTGTGATTATTTGAATGTGGTGAATAAAGGGAAAAAAATCTAAATTGTCAGGTTTATGGCTTTAGGATTCTAACATGGTGAGTATATTATGAGACTGGGGATATGGGAAGAACAAGTCTGGGAAAGGGGAGAAAGAAGATTGGTTTTATTTTTTAAAAGATTTTATTTATTTATTTTTAAGCAGAGGGGAAGGTAGAGAGGGAGAGAAACATCAATGTGTGGTTGCCTCTCATGCACCCCTCTCCTGAGGACCTGGCCTGCAACCCAGAAAATTGTTCTGACTGGGAATCGAACTGGCAACCCTTCGGTTCACAGGCTGGAGCTCAATCCACACCAGCCAGGGCAAAAGATTGTTTTTAGATACACTGTGTTTGAGGCCCCTATAATCATCCAAGTGGGGGTGCCTATTAAGGTGTTATACACACTAGGATAGAAAAGTACGGGGGGGGGAGGTCAGGGTTGGTTCTATTTGTCTGAATGGCCTAAGTACACACTGCAGTAAAATCATGAAAGAAGGAGATAACAAGGGTGAGAACAGAGGGGGAAGAGCAGTGTGCCAAAAAGGAACCCTGAAAAGGAGCAATTAATCAGAGGCAGGAGGAGAGGAAGGCTGTCTTGGTAACAAGAAGGAAACTTTTAAGACAGAAGTGATTGATATGTCAAATTCTGTGGAAAGGCCACAGAGAGATGAGGACTATATAGCTTCTTGATTTAACCTCCCAGAAGCCTGGTAACATTTACCAGAGCAGTTGCTGCATAGTTTCAAGGCAGGAGCTTGAACACAGAGAAGTAAGCGGGGAGGGAGAGAGTAGAAAGAAAAAGTGCAGACTTGCTTCTCAAAGCTTGGCTTCAGAGGGAAGGAGGAAGCTGGGAAAGCAGCTATATGGTGGGATTTTGTATTTCTTTCTTTTAAGGTAGGAGAGACTTCAGCATGCTTATGAGATGAAAGGAAAGAGCCAGTAGAGAGGGGGAGTTGGAATATACAGGAAAGAGAGGAGTAGATTAGTGGACTAAAGCTCCCAGATGCAAGAGGCAAACAATCAATGAGGAATATAGAGGAAGGGTTGGCTTTGAGCCCAAATCCGGACACCTGGTTCTCTGAGTCTGGAGGGATGGAGGTAAAGATGGAGGCATGTGTGAATAAATTCACAGGTAGGAAAAAGGGAAGTAGTTTACAGGTATCTACCTCAATTATCTTGATAAAATTGGTGGTAGGTCCGCTGGCATAACACCTAGGGGGCTGATTGAATAGGGAGCTTGCAGACAGTGCTGAAGACTTGGAAAGAGAGAAGGTGCTAATCATGGATGAGGTAAAAGTTCATCAGTTGTCCTAAAGACTCAGCTCAGGACAGATACATGGAACCTTCAGTGGCAGCCCCACTGTGAAGAATTAAAGTGATTTCCAACTGAACTCACAGGTCAGTCTCTGCCATATTTTAATTTGTGACTTGTGGGCCAGGACAGATATAAACTTTTGGTGAAAGAAAGCATTAGTCTTTCAATACAGAAAAAAAAAAATGTTAATGTAAAATTTGATCTGTAAGACACCCGTTTGAGAATACCACTGGTGGCAAGCATACTTACATAGCTGGTATTGTGTAATTATTGAGAAAGAAAGAAAGAAAGAAAGAAAGAAAGAAAGAAAGAAAGAAAGAAAGAAAGAAAGAAAGAAAGAAAGAGAAAAAGAAGAGAAAAAGAAAGAGAAAAAGAAAGAGAAAAAGAAAGAAGGAAAGAAGAAAGGGAAGGAAATAAATAGAAAGCGAGAGAGAAAGAAAGAGAGGAAGAAAGAAAGAATCCCGTGAATTGCCCATATTTTACTGTTTGGGCACAGAATCAACTGAGGTCAGGTAATAATAAGCACTGCCAATACCAGCCTTGTTCATCCAATCATCTCTTCTGCTCCCAAGACAATGCTCCTCTTTATGCCACTTGGGGTAGGACTCTATGATTATATGAACTTCTGCCAACTCAGTGCATGGCTTAGTGACCCAAGGGTTCTCAGACCACATAATCAGAGACAGCTGGTGCCATGGACACATCCGCTGTCTTTCTCCCCACGCGATAGCCATTGAAAACTCCAGAGTGGGGACTTATTGCAGAATCCCTATTCAGTCTGTGCAGAGCCCCAAAGAGAACAGGACTGACGTCAGCCTGGGAGGTGAAAGGCCCAGACCCAGAAAAGGCAGGCTGTGTTCCAGGACACAACAGTTTCTAAAGAGAGAAGATATATGACCCGCTTTCTGCTGGAGCATGGATCAGGCTGGAGGAGCAGTAAAGACAGCCTTCTGAGGAGTTCATGCATTATTCAGAAGGTTGCTGAGAAGGGCTGAGGTGGCAGAGGGAGAGGGAAGCAAATTGTATATTTTCCAGCTGAAAGCTCCATTGTGCAACTACATTCTACTTAGATGAAGCCCTGATACTTGTCATCCAAATAAATGCAGTAAGAGGAGCCCAGGGTGATCCGTCTCTCCCCAGGCAGTGTGAAGAGTCCTCTATTGGTGCTAAATTGGCTAGGGTCATCTCTTTCCACTAAAGAAAGAAAAATAGCACTTATTTAAGAATGCGCCATCTACACATTCTTGAATAGGCCCTCCTGAATCTTCACCACACCTGTGAAGCAGGTCTGACCATTCCCCTTTTGTAGATAGCAAAGTGGGAGTCAGGTGGGTTAAGGAACTTACCTGTAGCCCCACAAATCCCAGCAGTAGGGCTGGAATAAGAACCTAGGCTTTGTGACATGGAAGCCTATTAATACTCTTCCCATTATATCCAAAGAAATTCATAAAGTAATGTGCTTTGTGTTCTCTTCTGCTCAGAGTGCCTATTTAGGCATCATAAAATTTTGCTGCTTGAGACTGAATGACCTCAGAGGGCAAGTGGATCTTTTCCCAGTGGCCTAGGGGCTGGGAGGAATGTTTTTAACTTATATGGGGTTTTAGACTAGGTACAGCTCACTGACTTTGAACTTAGGTGCTCCCTGCCGATAGCACCCATTTTTGCCCTTGTTCTTGCCCTGACTCAGGTAAAACCCTGGAGACTGGGCCCAGTCCTTGCACATCATTTACACAGTAGGGTGTTAAAGTGTTGGCTTTTTCTGAGTCAAAAGTCAGGACACATGATCTGACCAAGGCCTTTTTCTAATTTGTAAATGTGTAAAAGTAAAAGGAATAACAAGCAAGCCCACTTATTTTCATATTTAATCAATGATTTTTAAGGAAGGATTCACAATTCTGAGTCATCTTTGCTGAATCTACAGCAATAGCATCGTGCTGAGAATAAGGAAGTGTTCAAGACATCTTTACTGAACAGCATAATTTTAATTAAGCTACACAACTACTAAGCACATGGGAATGCCTTTGCTGGCTTTTCATGTGGGCTTTTTGTTCCAGCCACAGTTGAAAGATTGGAGGTCTAAAACCAGTTTCTATTAATAACCATGAGTGGGTGATATGTTGGAAGTTTTTCTTTGGAAACGTTGCTTATTATCTCAGGAAGTGAAACTCTTTGAAGCTACTGAACCTCATTTCCCAATCACCAGGGCCTGGTACTCATCCCCTTGAAACATGGTCTCCAAGTATATCTCTTTGGGATACCAGATCTTACAGTCTACTTGCAACTCTGAGCAAGGACTTCATGTTGCTGATCAGGACCATGGCCCATGTGCCTTGACAGGCCTCTGCTACTCAGGCCTATCCACAGCCTTGATGCTCCTATATCAGCCTTGTCCCTGCCATGGTCCAGTTGCCTTTGCCAATGAAAACTTTCATACTTGTCCTTCTACACCACTCTGACTTCTTCCCTTATTCTACCCTCCATGGATGATGTCCTTCCCAACCCTCTCTAATAATGGGAATAATCCCTTAGATATATTGATAGATCGCCTTTCTATATCTCCATGTCTTCAGACTCTTCACAGAATTTTTATACATTCTGCCTTGAATAGCTATCTCTCTTTCTGGAAAATCTGGGGCCTGGCACTTCCACATATAGCCTGGGAGGATGGAAGACTTACCTCCAACATGATACCTGGGAAGTGCTGTGTTCATGGCTGAGTGAGGCATCTTGGTGCTGGACCTCAAGACAGTTTCACAGAGACACATGCCCCCAGTATGGTACAGGTGTGCAAAAGGGTCAGCAGACCTAAAGAGGACCTGCCCTTGGACAAAGAGGTAAGGTGAACGAACCTCAGTAGCAAATGCAGCTGGGGAGAAAGAGAATCTCAAAGCCTCATGGACAAGTTTCCTTCTGTTATTTAGTTCTCTTATGGTCAGAGAACATAGTTTGTATGATTTTAATCCTTTTAAATTTATTAAGCTTTTTATGGCCTGACACATGGTGCCTCCTAAAGAATGTTCCATGTGCATTTGAGAAGAATTTATATTCTGCAATTGTTGGGTGGTATGTTCTACAGGTGTCTATTAGGTCTAGTTGGTATATAGTATCGTTCAAGTCTCTGTCTTTGATTTTCTGTCTAGTTGTTCTACTAATTTCTGGAATATTTTCTAATACCAACAAGCAATTCTTCAATTCTCAGTGGACACTGACTGGGTGTCTCACAAATTTAACTCAATTTTGACACTTTCTCTCTGGAGATTGTGTCAGATTCCACAGATTAAGGGCTGAGTCCCACAAGACTGCTCCCACTTCAATGCCAATCACAAGTCCAGATTGTTACCTGTGCTTCTGACCAACCAGCTACAAATTAGAAGTTCCCATGCCCTCACCATTGGGTTTGATTAACTTGTTAGAGTGGCTCAGAGAACTCAGAGAAACATTTACTTACATTCAGCAGTTTATTATAAAGAATGTAGATGAATCGAATGATGAGGTACATAGGGAAAGGTCTAGAAGGTTCCCAAGTGCAGGAGTTTCATTCTCCATGCATCTGGGGTGTGCCACTCTGCTGGCATGTGGATGCATTCACCAACTCAGAAGCTCACCAAAGCTTATTGCTCAAGAGTTTTTATAAACTTAATCTCTAGGATTTCCCCCATTGCCTGAGGTTGGTGAGTGGGGTGAAAATTCCAACCCTATAATAATTTGGTCTTTCTGATGGCCAATGCCATCCTGAGGGAGGCTATGTAGGGATCCCACCTTAAGCTACTTCATCAGCATACATTCAGGTGTGCTTAAATGAGGCTTGTTATTAATAAGAAAAGACACTCCTATCACCTAAGAAATTCCAAGAATTTTATTAGCTTTGTGCCAAAATCAAGTATATTTCTTATTATACTTCATCATTATTAAAAGTGGGAGTTTGATGTCTCCATGTATTATTACTGAATCATCTATTTCTCCCTTCAGTGTCATAAATTTTTACTTCATGTATTTTGGGGCTCTCTGGTTAGGTTCATATGTGAATGTGTTATTTCTTCTTGATGGGTTGTGCTTTCATCACTATAAAATGTTCTTTGTCTTTAATAACAATTTTGGCCTTAAAGTCTATTTTGTCTGGTATTTGTATAGCCACTCAGGCTCTCTTTGGTTACTGTTCACATGATATACCTTTTTCCATCCTTGTACTTTGAACCCATTTGTTTCTTTGAATCTAAAATGAGTCTCTTTTAGTCAGCGTATGGTCAAATCTCTGTCTTTCAACTGGAGAATTAATCCTTTTACATTTAATGTAACTACTGACAAGGTAAAGTTTATGTCTGTCATTTTATTTCTTTTCTTTATATCTTGGGTCATTTTTGTTCTTTTTTTTCCTTTATTACTGCCTTCATGTCAGATATTTTCTAGTGTAACATTTTAATTCCCTTGGCATTTCTTCTACATTTTTTTTATTTTCTTAGTGGTTGCCTTGGGAATTATAATTAGCAACTTAATTTATAATAATCTAGTTCACTAATACCAGTTTAATTTCAACAGCATATAAAATCTTTGCTCCTATGAAACTCCATTCTTATATTTCCTTTATTGTCTTAAATTACATGTTTATACATTTTGTGTCTATCAATGTAGATTTAAATATATTGCTTTATGCAGTTGTCTTATTAACACAATAAGAAAAAAGTTACAAATAAAAATATTTTTTTACTGTCCTTTATATTTACTCACATAGTTACTTTTACTGGTAATCCTATTTTCTTTATGTTGATTTGAGTTAATACTTTTTTTTTTAAGCCTGAAGAACTCTCTTTAGTATCTCTTACAGGGCAAGTATGTTAATTTCTCCTTTAAAAAATTTAATTCCAAATAAATAATATTGAAAATTTTTATTGTAGTAGGAACACCTAACATGAGACCCAGACTCAACAATTAAAAAAAAACCTTTTAACAATTCAATTATGATGTGCCGTGTTGTAGCACTCTTTGAATTTATTATACTTGGAGTTCATCGAGCTTTCCAAATGTGTGGATTTGTATTTTTCATTAAATTTGGAAAATTTTTAGCTATTATGTCTTCAAATATTCTGTTATAGTCAGTTATTAGCCCATTCATCTATTTGCATAGGAAAACTTCTGATAGGGAATTTACTAAGTATTCATTGCAGTTGTCTTTAGGCTGAAGAGATATAGGTACTTTTTCTTCATCCTTTTTAAAAATTTTTGAGACTGTATATTAATCTTTATTTCATTCATTTTAGAATCATACATTATATTAATATCAAGTTACAATAATTGTTTTATGGTAAATGCTTGTAAAAAGTGTTTGACATCATTTCCTGATTGAAACTGAATATCTCTTCATATGAACACTTCATATCTCCTTCGCTGTGAAATGTCTAGACAAAAAGTATGTTAAAATTAAACAAATCTGACTAACATCAGTGAAACCAAGGGAATAAGGACCTCAGAAAATTCAGCCTTCCACAGAAATGACAATAAAAAGGACAAAAATTATTAGAATTAACATTTTTAAAACTCTGGAAATAAACCAAGGACTTTTGAGAACTCTGGGTGCATCTATGCAAGAAAATTTGGCTGAATTTCAATAAGAATGGTAAGTTCTATGGCATTTAAACTTACCCTAATTCTGTCTCTTTTTGTAATGTTAGTAGCCATTCATAATTATTGTCCCGATCCATTAATTCCTTGGAGATTTATGATGATATTCTAATTTGCATGCCTTCCTCAGTTATTAGCTGGAATAGTTCTAAAAAGAGAAATTTCTTGTTAACTATTTGGTTACTTTATAATGTAAAGGAAATGAGTTGATTCCCTAGCATCTTCCAAAAAATGATCAATGAGGATTTATCTTTCATTGAAGCATCATTAACAAACTTACCTGTTAAAGCCTTATCTAGTTTTTCTAGTCCTCAGTTAAAGGGTTGGATTTTCTCTTATCCAAAGTAGAAGTCCTGTTTGTTTTTAACTGAAAACTCCTCTGGATTCAATAAATCTTGTTTTTCAGAAATCCCTACCCTAATTCTTTGACATGAAAGAGGGCTTAGCGGTGATGTCAGGCAGAAAGAAAGACGTATCACATGGCTGGGGCAGGGGGAGGATGGGGGGAAATGGAGACAACTACACTTGAACAACAATTCTAAAAATATGACAAAATTTAAAAGATTAAAAAAAATAACACCCCCCTCAAAAAAAGAGAGAAAGAAAAGCCAGAGAGGTCTTATGATTTGAATAGCCCTTTAAATTCCAGCCCTGACAATTTTGCTCCCTACATAATCCTACCTGCAAATCAGGAGGGTTGCAGGCACAGCTAGTCACACATGGTGCTCCCAGCAGTGTCTCCAATACAGCCACATGCCAGAGAGCAGAGTCGGGGGAGCACTAGCCTCTGTAGGTAGAAAGACAGACCCAGACTGGAGACCCTGAATGAGGCATCTAAACCTGCCTATTCCCAGTGTCATTTGTAAAAACAATGGCACCCACCTTATGGTAATGATATAATTAGCACAGGGCATGACACATACTAATTTTTCATTATTTTTTACAATTATTATTATTACAGCAAGAATTCACATCATTATAACTGTCCATAGTTTTTTGGATTTTACTACAAAGCAGTCTGGTTGAGTCTTTGATATTTTGGCTACTTTTGCCTTATACCCACAGGTCTAACCTTTCCCAGCTTAGTGAGGGAAAGAGCATGGGCTTTGGAGCACAAATCCTGGTTCCTGATTATCCAAGTGAACTTGGGCAGGTTTAGAACTTTATACTTCTGTAAAAATCGATCAACCTTGCACACTTGTTTCTAAGGTAAAATAAGTGAGGTGAGTTGGTCGAAATTGTTTTCAATTGAATTTATTAGGGTGACATTGGCTATAAAATTTTATAGGTTTCAGGTATACAATTCTTCAATACATCATCTGTATATTGTGTGTTCACCACCCCAAGCCAAGTCTCCTTCCATCACCATTTAGCCCTCCTGTACCCTCTCTACCTTCCCCACCCCACTTCCCTCTGGCAATCACCATACTGTTGTTGGAGTCTATGAATGTTTTTTTTTTCTTTGCTTAGTTCCTTCACTTTTCTCACCCAGACCCCAATCCACTCTCCTCTGACAGCTGTCAATCTGCTCTCTGTATCCAAGATCAAAGTTTTTATATCTATGATAATAGGTAGTCTCTAAATGCTTGTTTATCTTTTTAAATAGGATCACTTGTTTCCAACTCTGCCATCACAGATTCTTTTCAAACCATCAAGACAAATTGCAATTATGAATGCCATTGACAAATGCAACTGTAAATAGAATTGTGCACACAGAAGGGGAAGAGAGAATGCTGTGGAGTCGTGGCTGCTCAAGGAAAGGGTTCAGTGTTGCATAGGGTTAGGGTATGTACATTTGTCCCCCCCTTTCTGTGGTTTTGCTTTCTGTGGTTTCAGTTACCCATGGTCAACTGTGATCTGAAAATACTAAATGGAAAATTACAGAAATAAGCAATTCATAAGTTTTAAATTGCACACTGTTCTGAGCAGCGTGATGAAATCTCATGCCATCCACTCCATGCCAGCTGAGACATGAATCATTCCTTTGTCCAGCATATCCATGGTATGTACTCTACCTGCCCATTAGTCACTTTACAGCCCTCTGGTGTATCAGACCAAGGTCCATGGTATCACAGTGCTTGTGTTCAAGTATTCCTTATTTTACCAAATAATGACCCCCAAGGAAAAAGGAGTAATGCTGGCAATTTGGATATGCCCAAGAGAAGCTGTAAAGTGCTTTCTTTAAGTGAAAAGTTATATACCATATGTATAGGGCAAAACATAGTATATATAGGGTTCAGTACTATCCCTGCTTTCAGGCATCCACTGGGGGTCTTAGGACATATCCCCTGTGATAACGGGGAGTGGGAGACAGGGAGTATTGTACTGACTGTCTGACCTTTGGACAAGATTGGTGGGAACTTCCTGGTCAGAGTCTTGAGAGGACTGGCATTCCTGGAATCCTAGCAAACCTTAGAGAATGGAACATAGAGGAAACCATAAGATTTGAGGTATACCAGGTTGGACTTTGGTATTCATACTAGGCCTCAAAGCATAATATATTGTGTATAGAAGCCCATGCATCTTTTAAAAAAGTCCAGGAGAACAAAAATTCCTAAAGAAATAAAACACATTGGTGGATTAAGTGGCCTCATGGCTTCATGGTGAGTGCCCAGTTATTTTGCTCATGCATAATGCTGCTCTAGCATATCCAGTCCTGGCTCAAAGACCTCAGAGATCCCAGGGGCTTCTGTTGGGCTTTCATGAAAGGAGAGAAGGTCCTCTTCACAGTGAGCATTCTGTGATGCTTAGTAACAGATGACAGGGAAAGGAAAGAGGTGTAGTCATTATTTTCAAGAACACAACACAGGCCGATGGCACACAAATGTATGCTGGGGATGGAGGATATAATCTGTCATTGAAAACAAAGGGATCTGGAAGTATTTTCTAGATAGAAAGCATTAAAGTAAACAAGGAAAAGGGGATAAACAAATACTGAAAAACTTCCTTCTCAAACTTCAGGGCAATTTTGATTTGCTTTTATTGCTATGAGCAGTGAGAATGGATATTTCAACTCCATATCATAATCTGCTGAAAGGAAAATTGCCATTAATTTTCATTTTCATTCACGGTGAATTTCAATGAGTTACTTGTCAGAATAATAATCTGCTAAGTAGACAGCTTCTAGATATGTACAGTATTATTGGATTTTCCTAGGTAACAGAAATTAATATGTTAAAAATTTGCCCTTGCAATATCAGAGCTAATTAAGATTTAAATATGAGTCAAAAAATGATTGTCTTTATTAGGATTGCTGGTTCCTGAAAAATGTACCAAAGAATACAGAAAGAGAACTGTCTTCTTTCCACTTATGTCACGTCATTTTTACAGCAAGCAAGTGGTGGGTCAAACACAAAATGCCCACACTCCTCCCAAGACTCACTTGCAAAGCTCTGATGATAGGGAAAGAAGGCCCTTATGCTAGAGTAATTTCTTTTAATAGATTTGGAGGAGCGAAACTTTAACTAGAAATACTGTTAAAAATAAAAATACTAATTAAACTGCTTTAAAAATCTAAATATAGAATTTATTTAATATGGCAAAAATAATAGAAAAACTTATGAGACATTCCTGCTAAAATCAGGACAAAATATGTGTTTAAGATTTTCAGAGACTTGAGCTGATTTCCAAAGGAGGACAAATTTGCCAAAAAAATTAATTTGCCTAGTGATATGGCCCACATTTTTGGAAGTTTTAAGTGTTGCTTTGGCTTCTTCTAAGCCGTTTGCAATTGGTGGGCCAGGAATGAGCGGGCCATGGTACCATCCTTCCCTGCATGCATGCATTATGATCCCCAAACCTTTTTCTTTCAAAGACAAATTTATAATGATTCATGCTGCTTGAAACTATCTAAATAGCCTCTGAAGATTCCCCCCTAAGTTTTAGTTTTTCTCCTAGTTTTGTACCCCTGTTTCCTTTGAGGTGGGGTTGGGTAAGGGAGACACTTGGAATGGACATCCACAACCACCTCTAAACCCTGGATGATGCTCTCGTAACACTGCCCAGGGCACCACTGTAGCCACAACCCTAGGAACAGCCCAGGGAATGGAAGGAGCAAGAACCCTACCCAGGTCCCTCTCCCCACCCCTTCCACTCAGCATGTGGGCAGAAGGGTAGTACCATGCCCGGCTGCTACAAACCATCTGATTTTCTGTGACTTAATCTGTGGCCATCTTTCCCTCTAATCTCCTACAAGCCCCCAACCAAGGGAGGAAAATCCAGGCCATTCCTGCCAAAATAGAGAGAGGAGGGAGGGAGGGCAGGAGCCAAAAAGATCAGGTTTGCCCCCAGTGCCCAGTGCCACCCTGGCATGGTGAAGCCTGAGCCATGATGATGGCTCCAGGACTGACTGTGGGAGAGGAGAGCCAGAAAGGATGTGCAGAGAAGGCTCGATGATGCAGGAGTTGAGCCACCTTGCTACATGGTGCCCACTTAGAAGAAAACTGAAGAGACGACTGCAGCCAGAAAGGGACTTTGACTCAGCTCTGATCCTACCACATGGGATGAAAGTGAAATCGTGCAGGCAGGACCAAAGTGAGCTGAATAAGTGGGGTTTATAGTGTGGGCCTGAATATCCAAGGGATGCCTGAGTCCCATCTCACCAAACACTTCTTCCCATGAAGCTCCTAAGAGCTGGTTAAATAAGGAGAAAGAGCAGGTGGGCATGTAAGCATCATTTGACAGCTGGACCAGAGCCTAATATCCTCCAGGACAGACCTTTTTAGACAAGGCTTGACTGGAGAAGGCAGCTTAAGTACTCCCTAAGCCTGAGTCTTGGTCTTGGGGTCTTGTCCTTTCTGGTGGGTTCCACACATAAGAAGTCCAAGCGATGAGCAGCATGCTCAGGCTAATCCTCTGTGAGGGTGGGGCAGGGTGCAGCTTAAGATCCTGGTGCATTAAGTGAAGGAGATAGAGCAAGGCTGCCTGCCCCTTTAATAGACAGTGACCATGCCCATTAACACATGAGGCCTGGACAGATTTCCTGCATTTTGACCAGTCAAATGAGCAACTTCTCCATTCTGGAGGAATTAAGTTCTAGATAGGTTGGCAGAAAAGTAGGCAGAATGCAGATAACAATGACATCCATGTAACTTAGAGCTGGAAGTTCTAAGACAATGCCACAAACATGAACTGGAAATGGGCATGACTATTTGAGAAAAAATTTATTCCCATTTGTGGCTAGAATATCCAAGAGAATTAATGGAAAAGTTGTTATATAAAGTAGTCATACTTTGTCCACACTTCAGGGTATGTTTTTTTACAGTAAATTCAGAGGTTTTTATCACAGAAACATAATTGCTGACACAAAGTTTGGGATACAAGGATTTCTAGAGGGCTTGGGCTCATGATTATATGAGGCTTCCTTTTCTACAGTAAGTGTTCTTTTTAAAATTTTGCCAAATATGGTAACTAAAAATAGCATTTCATTGTTTTTGCCTTTTTTTGTTTGTTTCTTTGTATGAACAAGTGAACACAGCAGGGATTAAGAGCAAGGGCTGTGGAGTTAGAGCTGGGCCATGGCCTGGCTGCCACCCTCTGCCTTTGCTGTTCTTTACTCTGGAATAAAGTAGTGCCCTCCTTCCAGGACTGTGGAAGGAAAGGGCTGAACACCTGGAAAGCACTCTATCAGCCATGCTGAGTACCAGGGCACTTATGACCAGCACTCTCTTCTCAGCTTCTGGAAAATGCAAGATCTCTTGGGTTGTCTCACCTTTTCAAGTCTGACCTCTGAAAACTGTCCTTAGGCATCTTGTCTCCATTCTACCACCCACCTGTGTATGTACCCCA